ATTAGTGTAAAAATTAATTGAAAAGGATAAGTACCTGTGTATATATACACATATATGTGCACATATACACATGCTAAAGCACAGACATCATAATATATGTACATATAAAGATATCTTATAGACTTCAATGATAGATTTTTCAATTAGATTGATTTTTTTATAGCAAAATTATTGATAGCATCATTTGCAACTTTATGATCTTTAATATTATATGTTATTGGTATAATTCTATAAAAATCATTTGAAATAATTAAACTAAAAGATACAGAGATTATATATATTTTTTAAATTTATCAATGAATTTATAATTGAAATTAAATCTAAAAAGTTAATTTAAGATTTAATATTTAATTGAACAAAATTTAAGCAAAAGCCAACTTAATATTTGCGAATAATATGAAAAATTATTTATTATTTACATATGGAAATCACATCCGGGATTATCTGCACTTATCGGTTTGATTACAACCAACATTGACTTGAAATTTCATTAAAATAAATGTATGATAAATTTTTGAATATTCCATGCATCACTCTGATATTTTGCATTTGCTCTTAATAAATATAACAGTATAGTTATATATGAGTTGCAATTTTATTTTTAATTTAATTGTGCGTATTACAATTTTAAATAAAATGAAAGTTTTACAAATAGAAATAATATTCAGTCCATTTCTTATGTAAAACAAGTATGAATATCCTGAAATAAAGTCTACGTTTTTGCATATTTTTAGCATAATGTTCGGGCATAAAAATAACAATCTTCAAAATCATCAATTTTAACTTCGTTTAAATTCATCTCTATTATCAAGTTATTTTCTAAAACTACCCTAGATGTAATATTGCTTATTATTTCATTTGCTTTTACATTTTTATAAAATGAAGACAGAAGATAAATATGTATTTTTAATCTTATTTTGATCGAACATCGACTCTGTGTACGTCATAGGTTATGCACAAAAGTATTTTCTTTTCGGTCTTTTTCATAAATTCACCGACCGGCATCGCGTCGTCGGTAAGCTTTTGCTACCCCTCCCTCAATAGCAGGTATCTCCCCTCTTCACTCCCCTTCCCCTCGCGTTGAACGCGACAATGGAATATTCCACTGGGTACCTATTCCATCTGCCTTCTGCATTGAGAGGGGAGGATTCCTTCTCTCTCTCTCTCTCTCTCTCTCTCTCTCTCTCTCTCTCTTTCTCTCTCTCTCTCTCTTCTTTTTTCGTTGCAATAGCTTCTCTTGCCTTGATTCTCCCAAGACAGGAACGTGTTTAGTGATTGGCAATAACGACAATTTAAATTGTCGCTCAATTCCAATGATTGAATGATGAAAATTTAGATTTTCATGATTTGTTTTTAGTTAGAAAGCATATTGTTAAGTATAATTTCAATGTTTTATATATATATATATATATTTTTTTTTGCTTACTAAAGGATTTTTATAATCAAATTTTTATAATCAGTTTAAGTCATGTACACATAAGGTATGTCGCTGCACTGGATTGCATTAAAACTTTCTATCTCGCTTTCACCAAACTTCAAATATACAACTATTTCACTTTAAGTTTACGATGAGTATGCTAGTTCACCTATAAGAAACAGACCTATTAAAATTCTTCTTTGCAATTTCAAAAGTTAACAATTATCAAAATAATATATGAGATTAACTTTCTTCTGAGGGAATTTATATTTTATAATAATGCAATTCTATTCTATATGAAATCAAGTTTGAGATTCACAGATTACTTCTACTTTTGAAAACGGAGTAAGATTTTTTCTAAATCTTCACTTCTGATCTTTTCATAAAGTACTAAAAGTATGGAGCTTATCGCTATCATAGATGATAAAAATCATCGGATCGAGCTGACAAATTGTAACTGATTTTATAAATAATCTAATTGTAAAAGTTAATATGAGATAATTTAGAATAATTATCAATTTTTTGAAGCGTGAAACAGAAAAACTTAGCTTTTTTTTTTTAAGTTGAACTTGCATCTTTTATTTTTTCTTTGTTTTTTTCTCTGTGATAAGATAAAAAAAGAAACCAATGGAAAAGAATCATGCAAGAAATTTAATTAAAAAATAGGTTTTTATGATTGCAAACACAAATAATTTTTTTGAAATGAAAGGAGATTTGAATTGATTCTAATAAACGTACAGTAGCATTGATGCATACGTTCCTGGAATTTCCCCTCGCGTCTCTGCCATCCTCTTCGTTCCAATCTGACGCGTCAATCCGCTATAGCGCCGACCAATCGGCTCGTTCGTTGCGCTGCCCGTGCTCCTGTGGGTAGGGAGGGAGAATAGAGGGTGAGCTAGGCAGAACGTACGTGTAGCGAGGCTTCGAGGTGAAGCATAACGAGCAGACGAGTTACGTTCACTTCCAAAGTCGGGGAGCCGCTCTGGAATATTCACCGGAACAAAGCGCGCGGAAATAGGAGTGAAATTGGACGGGAATTCTCGCAGCCGTGAAGTGGGGGATCTTCTGTATTTACGTAGCGGGATCTTTTCGGCACCGGGAATGAGCGTGCATATTGTAGAGAAAAAGGGTAGCGCGCTCAAGGGCTCGAATGGGTTGATCGCGACTATGGAGAACGAAGACGGCGACTGGCAGAATGGACAGAATGTTCTGGTAGTCACGCAGGATACCCAGGGCAAGGAGCTGATCAGCTTAACTGATAATCAGACCATCAACGTGGCCGTGGATACCTATTGTTCGTATATTTCCTGGTTATCGCTTCTTTGTCAAGGGTGACGGTGTCGGGGGATTGATTAATTCATTAGGTTTCGTGATCAATACATGTGATTTGGTTTAAATTAGCAATCCATTGCGGATGTAACATCTCATTCACTTGTTGTTAACTTGATTAGATGTATTTGTCCTCTGCGATCATAATGATATTCTAAGAATAGAGTTTTGAGGTTACCATTTTTCTCACAAATTGAATTCTTTGACCTCGTGTTCTATTTGTTTTTTTTTTTTTTAGTTACTTTTTCACATTGACATTCTCAGTTTCTTTTGTTCGCTTGTGATTCCGACAAAAAATTCAAAAAAATAGAATTTATACAATCAAAATATATGAGAACGAGAGAGAGGAGAGAGATTTATATTTTTCATTTTTCTATAAACTTGAAGTTCTGTGTACCCCTAATTTTTTTATTATAAAATACATCAACATGTTGTCATATAATTTGTTGCAATGCAATTGGTCAGATATTTATGGAATAAATATGTTCTCATAAACATATTTTGCTTCTCTAGAAATTTGAAGTCAAGTGTGCTCCAGATACTCCAGTATTTCACATATTGTCTTGATTCTTGTTTCAGGGTTACTAGAACTCGCGCACAGAGAATATCAAGCAGGAGATTATGAAAATGCTGAAAGACACTGCATGCAGCTATGGCGACAGGAGACAAACAATACTGGTGTTCTTCTCTTGCTTTCTTCCATACATTTCCAGTGTAGGAGATTAGAGAAGTGAGTAATTTAATGTATTAAATCTATAATTATACATGTAGAAAATGTAGCATATGTATATATATGTATATTTGTATATATTATACATTTTTTAATGCAAACTTACAAATTTATAACTTTGTATATTTCAGATCAGCACATTATAGCAGCTTAGCAATAAAGCAAAATCCATTGTTGGCGGAGGCATATAGCAATTTGGGAAATGTATATAAAGAGCGCGGACAACTACCAGAAGCGCTGGAGAATTATCGTCATGCTGTCAGACTAAAACCTGACTTCATCGATGGCTACATCAACTTGGCTGCAGCACTTGTGGCGGCTGGTGACATGGAACAAGCAGTTCAAGCCTATGTTACTGCACTACAATATAATCCCGTGAGAAAAATCGATATTACGAATATAATACTATATAATTTTTTAATAAAACATGGAATCCTGAATGGATTCTTAAACTGTAAAAAATAAAATTTTTAAATTTAAATCACTTATTCATACAACTGAATTAAGTTTTATTCTATGTAATTATGTTAGTAAGAGTCTATGTCTCTTTTAAATCATAGAATCAGTAACGTACGATTTATCTCTCTAATATTTCGTTGAAAATATCTTTTTTTTTTAATTTTAGATAGATTATGCGGAAATAAATTACATATTTTGCTTGTTCCAGGATCTTTATTGCGTGCGGAGTGATCTTGGTAATCTTTTGAAAGCATTAGCAAGACTTGACGAAGCTAAGGTATGTTTTAGAATCGTTTCTATCTAATACATTAATCTGACGTGTCATGCACATGTTCGCGAACATCTTTACTTTGATCAAGCTATTGACGGCGGAATTATTGTGCAAGGAATAGTATATTACGCTCCTTGATCTAACAGATTGTCATAACTTGTCATAAAAGTCTTAACTTTAAAAAATACCCTATCCTGTCCTAAAAATTATGTTATTTTTTATAAATCCTAAAAATAACGGCAATTAATAATAATAATAATAATAATCCATTCCATAGACATCTGTGGATCAAGGAGAGCAGAGAAATCATTATTTGATTGTATGATGCTTTTTGTTATAATTAGCAGATGTTCCGCCATCCTTGGGTCTTTGATGACATTTCTTGATGAAGTACAAATGTATCGCGCGTATGTGCACGAGCTACAGCGTTCAGTTCTCCGCGAAATAAGTGGATCGAACGGAATTTGTTCGCGCCGTTGCCACGAGAAGCTTTCAATCTTTGCCGAGCAATTTGCAAGCGCGGCGCACGATTTTCTATCATTATAAAGTAAATTAGTAAAATTAATTGAGTTTTTGAATCTCCTTATTTGATAATTGTCTTCTCTATGGAACGAACTATGTAAGAAATGTTTGCGAGCGCAATCGCAAACTCCGTGGTAGATTGAAAATCGTGCGCATTCCTTCATCCTGTAAAATGAAAAGAGCCTGCGTTTTATGTCGTGACAGAAGTTTAATCTTCGGAACGACATTAAGCAATGGTCTTCACATAAAACCCCTAAACAATATAATGCTTTTGATAGGTGCATTTTAATCTGAATACTTTGCAAAAATTTTTTATTCTCTGTTAAAAGCAATATATTGCCAAGATAAATTTCGGAATAAATAAAAGAAAACTATGAATCTTAAATTTCTTAAATAAATTTTTTACAATGGTAAACTTATTACCAAACCACATAACGATTCCATAGAGTCGAGAAAGATAAACAATTTTATAATGTTTAGGGGATTATTGTCAAAGTAACTGGAGAATATTCTTTCTAGCATTGCGCGTTTTGTAGCAACACGAAATGCATTTCGTCTATTTCATGGATTTTATAGTGTTGCCGCAAATTACAGATTGTTTGCCAGTTCCATCTGAATGGATTTCAATTCCACTAAATCGATGGGTCTGGCAGCGCGCGAATGTAGTGTATGAGCTGATTTTGTCTCTTGTTTGGGATGTGCGACTTGCTGTTATCGCAATACACGTGAATTATCACGTGCATATTTGTTTAGCATTTTCATGTTGACAGAAAGAAAGAGGGAGAGAATCTACAGTGTGTACGATGATATATATTGGCGCGAGATCACTTGACCAATTATTTAAGTCAAATCAGAAATTATTCTGTTTTGTTAAGTCAGCAACGCGACAGTATTTTATCATAGATGGTTTTGAACGAGAAGAGCTCACATAGTTTGTCCATGTAATAATGAAAATAATATTACTGTAGCACTATTTTTAATATTAATATGATTAAATAATAAGAGAAAAATATCGTTAAATGAAATTGTCAAGCTTACGGATTTTTTATGCCTTGCTTTTTGAATCAGAATTGATCATGATTTGTTGTTGGTCGGTCAAGTGATCTATCTTTTGTAGCGCGGCGCGGCGATGATCGATGAGAGTGTATTTATAAGTGCTATTTGTTACATGAGCTTTTTTGTTTGTATTTTTTAGTTATTTCTCGCAATAAGCATTTTGATGCATGATTAACGACTTATAAATATATCCTTATTCGATCTTAAAAATGACAGCAACGAGGAAAGCTTCCCGTTACGCTTCCCGCTATTCCTGAGAACTGGCTGGTACGCTCGTCTATTTCTCGCCGAGCTCTTTTAGTCATCTGGACATTCGTTTTGTAATATGACGTGCTATTTTGTTCCTCATGTAATGTTTAATGGTTGACAGAATTAATATAATAGAATATTTATAAAGAAGAAAGAAATGCGATCTGTATTCTGATCGCAAGGAGCGGGAGACAACAGTTGGCTGACGAGCTCGGCGAAGCGTGTCTTTCGCAGGCACGTAAATCGTCAATTCTTTATGTACACATGTATACAGAAAGATAGTAGAGAAAAAAAAAGAGATGATAAAACATAAAAGACAAAGATTGAGGCGAAGAGTAATCAGTGAAGAGACATTAACGCAGCTGTCTTATTGTTGTGGATGGGATGATCAACTCTAGGAGGGGATGTGCAGGAGCAATGTGAGATTGGTCGGTTACCGCGCCGGTTCCTTCGACAAAGGGTGAATCTGAATCTGGTTATTCAGTAACACACTGTCTCTCGGTCTAAGTTTATTATGAGAGCTTGCAAGCCGTACCTACCGAGTCAGCCTACCGAACGGTACACTGCAGGTAAAGTAATTCCCAAGACCGGTCTCTAAAAACCTTCCAATCCTTTCCAACTCATCCCGCCAAAAAAATTCGAAAAGTCCCATCCTGTCGAGAGTGCTGCGAAGTAACTTGTTGAGAAATGAATCAATAAATCTTTGGATTTACATGCAACATTCATTAGTATTATGCGAGTTGAACTTTCAGTTTACTTAAAGCTGGACTTTGAAAACCTAAACATAAACAAGATTTTAATTTTGACTTTTCACTATGACACAAAATAATATTGTTATTCATTGCTATCTCTGTATCGATAACATTATCTCATTTATTGCTGGTCCTTATAACAACATTTATATTTTTATCGTTCAAATTTTTTTAAATATTTTTGCTTCGACGAAGGGTGAATTTTATTATTTATATACGTTAATTTCAAATATTTTATTACAAAGAAATAAATTGTAAATTTGTAAATTTTTTTGTTAAACCGTGAGATATGTTTTTTTTTCCAATTCAAGATTAAATTTTTATCGGATTATTAGTCGTATTGAATCAAACCTATTTCTATTTTATTTTATTTGAGTATAAGAAAATCATTGTATTTTCCAACTCCTTTCCTCGTTCTTTTTTTTCCCTTTAATTCCAGGTTCACACCTTGCAGAGACCGGTCGACTGTAAATGCCCTCTTATTGTTTAGGTACGGATTACTCTGTTCAATATCAATGCAGCCCGCCTCTCGGCACGCGCGATGATTTTCCACGCTGAATCCTTAGAGTCGTCATCCCGTCGTCAGAATTTTTTGTATTCAAAATCGGAATTGTTTCTCGTTTCGCTAAGTAGCTTTTTTTCCGTTAATCGCGAGATTTTGAGTCGACTGGATCTTAGCGTACGACTTCAATGTGCAGTCGAGTCCACCGGACGCATTTCGGGAACTCCATATGCACAAAAAGTCGCACGCTCTATGATGACGCCTCTAGCGCGCACCTAAACACCTCTATCCTGAATTTGACCTGATTCCCATCCGAGAATGAATTGTTAATCACCCGCGAGGCAACTCGTTTGTTCTGTTTCCATTCTTTGCACCTTTCTTGTCCTTGACGAGCACAAAGAGGGCGAACTTCAGGATTGAGGGGAAGAATCCTTCGCCGATGAAGGTTTAAAAAAAAAATATATATATATATGTAATAAGGAAATATGTTTGCCGAATATTTCTGAACTCGCATTGTAGACTCTATTTCGCAGATGTATACAGTCAGGCAATTTTGATATGGCATACTTTTATTTTTAGGAAGTTTATTAGAACATGGTTGAAAATTTGTTGATGTTGATACATAATTTTAATGCACGTGATTTATATCTTTTCAGATTTTTTATTTACATATTTTTTTACGGATTATTATTTTCACAGGTACCTACCTGGATTTTTGCTTCTGCTCAGCTTAGACTTTATGATGTATTCAATCCAATTTAAATTTGTGATATTGCTATCCTTTTGGATTTTCTTTCTCAAATATATGATATATTTTAGAATTTTTATTATTTTATAAATTTACTCAATTTAATATAAAATATTAGAAACAGTTCAAGATATTAAATATATATATACATACATACATACATGTATAATATATTTCTAAGTTGAGAAAAAATCGTTTTATTTACATCAACGAAAGATTAATGCAGAAAAGATGAAAAACAATTTTCATTTAATATTCTAAAACTTCTGAAAAATTACTGCTAATTTTCTCTATTTTTAAAAATTAACGTGATCTTAAAAACTGAAAGAATAATAATCTATTTTGCGAATACAGTCATATGACATTACATAGAATTGTGAAGAGATTTAGGCAGTCTTAGAGCGACGACGAAACTATCCAATGTTTCAAGATAGGGAAAAGAGACGTAGTAAGGAAAGGAAACAGAAATGACATTAGGATGGCAAAATATGTTCTTTTTTCCTTCAAGATTAACGACGAAAGGTGAGAAGGGAGAGAAAAAGAAAGACAGAGAAAGTGTGAAAGGGAGAGAAAGAGAGAGAAGCTGCGGCGCGGCGATGGGAGGTCGGGCATATTGCGCGGCGCGCGTCCCTTTGAATTCGCGAATAACGCCGCTGTAAACTGCATTCTGTTTCTCTAGGCCTGCTACTTGAAGGCGATTGAGACCCGACCGGACTTTGCGGTCGCCTGGAGCAATCTCGGCTGCGTGTTCAATGCGCAAGGGGAAATATGGTTGGCGATACACCATTTTGAAAAAGCTGTTGCCTTGGATCCGAACTTCCTAGATGCCTACATCAATCTTGGAAATGTATTAAAGGAAGCCAGAATTTTTGACAGGTTTGTTTTTACGCACATTTACAATAATTTACCCATCGTTTTCTGTTTCAAATAGCCAAATTTGTCGTAATATATTTTGTAAAGTTTTTATTAGCAATTTTTTATTGGCATATGCTTGAAAAATACTTGTTTTAATAAATTTTTTTCTCTGCGTGGTAGAAATTTAATAGAATTTGTTAATGGAAAAAATGGAAAAAATTGCAGAAATAGAGAAGAATCTACTATTTCATAACTATTTAATTTGTTGTCATACTACATTTTTAATAATTTTATTCCGTGTGCATATTGCAATTATGTATGCAGGGGTGCATTATTAAGAAAAAATTTTTCTAGCAATATAAGTAAATTAATAATTAATACAGCTTCAATTTTATTTATTTAAAAATCACCGATATTTTGTTCTATTTATGATACATTTTATATATATATATTCCATAACTTTAAAAAATGAATTATGATATTTCTTTGATAAACTTAAACGAATAAAACTTGTAATATAAAATGTTTTCCTATCGTAACATCCAATTCTGTGATATTCACTATTTGATATATCATAAGGTATTTGCTTTCTATTTTATTTCTATTTGAACATTTTTTCGAATGATTTATGAAAGTGATGACATGGAGAAATATTATATGCACAGTGTTGATCAACCAACGTCTTGAAATTTTCATTGTCGTCGGTTTTAAAGTCTGTGCTAGATTAAAAGTGGCTTTAGTTATTCCATTGATGCATCACATAATGTCATCAATGGCTAGTCCAAAGTCATACATTTCTTTTTGTTGACTTTAGCGATATTATTCGTACCTCCTTCTTGTAGAATATGTAAGACAAGAATACATGTAACAAGGCAAGAATATATATAACAAGACAAAAATATATAAGTCACAAAATATATTCCGTATATTATTTTCTATATTTGTATACGTAGTTTATTTCGAAAATAATGATAATGATTATGGAAAAATATTGTTGCAAAATATTTTATAAATCAAGATTATTCTTCGAAGTAATATCTTCTTCTCTCGATCTCAGAAGCAAAAAAAAATCTGTAAAATTACTCAGTTCAGATCCTTTATCTCGATGATTTTATTTAATTTATTGACTATACTGATACATTGATATTATAAATATACATAAAAGAAATTTATAATATAAATTTATAATATAAATTAATATTGCAAATTTAAGTTGGCAATATAATAATATGAAATATAATATTTCTGAGTTGGTTAAAATTTCCAATTGAAAAAGGAAAAATATTAAATAGCAATTGTGTAAATATTGGGTTTAAAACACATTTGATATACTTGGAGACAGGCGGATACAGCGCATGAGCTGTCGGGTCAGCACCAAGGATCGATATTTATGTAACATCCTTTTCAAGTTCATCGTCCTCTGCATTTGAACGACAATTCGGACAATGCACCGTTTCTCTCCAGACACAATTTTTAAGCATAAGACATTTTGCGTAATAAACATCCGTATTTGCATTTGTTCATGGCGAGTTTTAGTTATTTATTAATATTTTTCTAGTAAAATAATTACAGAAATTTTATGGGAAATTCATTTATCTATATTTATTTTAATTTAATTTAATCATATTATCATATTTTCCATATTATCGTATTTTTATTCTTAATTTTTGTATGTAAATTTTAAAATGTATGACCATTTCTATAGTGACGTCACGCGTTTATCTCTACATCATTTTTCATTTGAACTATATCTTGGCGCCTGTTGGTCTATCGATCTTTACCAAGATTCGTCTGACGGTTAAAGAAATAAAAGAACTCTTGACATCTCCTATACTATCCTTTCATTTATATAGTCGATAATGAATATCCTTCCACTTCTACATTTTAATATTTTAATTCCCGATTCAAATATCTTGCTAAGATTAAAATAATTATAATATTAACAATGATATTAATTTCTACACATCTTATCTTTTTAATTCTTTTTTATCTTAATGTTCTATAAATATAAAAATTTATATATATATATATATATATAAAACTGAGACAGAAATCCTTATGATACATTAAAAATAATAGATTCATTGAATGCGTTTTTCCGGCCGAGATTTCTTCACGCACAAAGTGGGAGGAATTCGAGGACAATCTATCGATTCTAGAAGCCGCTCCGCCCCCATTGGAACCCTTCGCCTCCCGGTTGTGGGAGGATACGCGTGCCCGTTCACAGCTTTCATTCGCTCGCGAGTTAAGCGGCTTTCCTCTGGCTGCCAGCATCTCCCGGAACTGATCCATCGTACTCCCAGGATCCGTGCGCCGAAGGATCCGTGCTTGTGTAATTCCTGCTTTAACTCCTGCTGCTTAGATGTCTGTGGATCCTAGGATAAGCGAATCCTAGATCCACGTGGATTCGAGGATCTGCGCAGTTTGTGCTTGTGTCTTATTTCAATTTCTACGCTTAAAATCAGTGATCCGTATTCATCCGTAATCAAAGATACACGTATCTAAGAATCCGTATTGGTACACTTTTTTTTTTTAACGCGTGCACTGAGAACATCAATGAAGTTTTAGAGGCTTGAAAGATATTCAAGTATTATTTTAAATTCATATACCTGCGTGAGATCTGCGATTTTTACAATCTAAGGGTTGAACTCGGGGAATATCTAAAAAAAAAAACTACTCAACTGAATCCAATGGTTAATGGAAAAATAATCTATTCTAACTAATCTATTTCTAACTAAAAATCTGCGGATCTAACAGATTGTGCTTTGTGAAAATTCAGAATTCCGCGAATGCAACGCCTTTAAAAATCCTTGTTTCCGCGCACCCTGCATGAAGTCGTGCCTTCAAAAATTCCTCTCCCGAAAGTCCTTAGATCCAGGGGTTTCTTTGTATCCCTGTCTCTAAGGATTTATTCATCTAACGTGCCGCGTCGTCAAAGATTCTTCCTTCACGCTCGGATCCGTGGTCTCTGGGATCCGCGGATCCAAGACAGCCGGGATGGGGAAGGAATGGACTGCCAGTGCGTGGTCGTCTATACGGTGATCTCGCCTTCGACCACTATCGCGCCCGCGCTTCGCGTTCAAATAGAAGATACTCTCACGCGACCCTCTACTTCTGGATGTATCTCCTGGATCAGGCGCTATGTTAAAAGGTTTATCAGAGTCGTCTCTATAGTCGTCGGGAGCTGTATTATAGTTTGTACAATTATGGTGGAATCAATAGAGATAATTTTTTTTTGTTATAAAGAGAAGTATTCAATATTAACATTTATCCTTTTCACAAGCTAGGTTTTATCGTAAAAAATGATTTGAAATTAATGATCATTCTTTAATTATTAATTGTTACAGAGCTGTAGCTGCATATCTCCGTGCGTTGAATCTCAGTCCTAACAATGCAGTCGTACATGGAAATTTGGCGTGCGTTTATTATGAGCAAGGGTAAGTTAATACTTTGTGTTTATATTTATAATGGATTTTAATTTATAATCTAAAATTTCTCCGAAAAAAGTGAATAATTGGAAATTATGTAATAACATAGCCTCATCGATTTGGCCATCGATACGTATCGTCGTGCTATCGAATTGCAACCGAATTTTCCCGATGCATATTGCAATTTGGCGAACGCTCTCAAAGAAAAAGGACAAGTGGTCGAAGCGGAAGAATGTTACAATACCGCCCTCCGACTTTGTCCTACGCATGCGGACTCTCTTAATAACTTGGTATGGACTTATGCAACTTTAAAAAGCACTAAGCTTCTGTGTGAGAGAATAAGTCTACAATGAAATGTTTTTTTTTTAGGTCCAACATAAAACGCGAACAAGGCTATATTGAGGAGGCAACTCGCTTGTATCTTAAAGCACTGGAAGTATTTCCTGAGTTTGCAGCCGCTCATAGCAATCTCGCATCTGTCTTGCAACAGCAAGGTAAACTGAACGAGGCATTGATGCACTACAAAGAAGCAATTCGTATACAACCGACCTTCGCCGATGCTTACTCGAACATGGGAAACACGCTGAAAGAAATGCAGGATATACAAGGCGCTCTACAGTGCTATACTCGTGCTATCCAAATCAATCCGGCCTTTGCTGACGCTCATTCCAATTTGGCATCAATCCACAAGGATTCCGGCAACATTCCTGAAGCGATTCAGTCTTACAGAACAGCGTTGAAGTTAAAGCCAGATTTTCCAGACGCCTATTGCAACTTGGCACATTGTTTACAAATAGTATGCGATTGGACTGATTATGAAGCTAGGATGAAGAAGTTGGTATCTATCGTTGCTGAGCAACTAGACAAGAACAGACTGCCTAGTGTGCACCCTCATCATTCCATGCTTTATCCCTTGTCTCATGAATTTCGGAAGGCTATTGCTGCTCGACACGCTAATCTTTGCATAGAGAAAGTAAGTCCATTTTCTAATTTAATTTTTTTTTATATTACATTGAAATTAAGTGATTAATATTTTATTTTCTTCATTCTATCGATATTTTTATTATATATAATTACTTATATGCAAATAAATTGTTGCAGATCCATGTTCTTCACAAACAACCATATAAATACCCGCGCGTGATCGGCACGCGATTGAAAATTGGATATGTTTCGTCAGACTTTGGCAATCATCCGACTAGTCACTTAATGCAATCAATCCCTGGTCTACACGATCGCGAAAAAGTGGAAATCTTTTGCTATGCGCTAAGTTCGGATGATGGCACAACCTTTAGAGCGAAGATAGCGCGAGAGACCGAGCATTTTGTTGATCTCTCTCAGATTCCGTGCAATGGCAAGGCTGCTGACCGCATCAATGCCGATGGCATTCATATTTTAGTGAACATGAACGGCTATACAAAAGGGGCCAGAAACGAGATTTTTGCTTTGCGACCAGCACCGGTACAAGTCATGTGGCTGGGTTATCCTGGTACTTCCGGTGCAAGTTTCATGGATTATCTCATTACGGACGAGGTTACTTCGCCACTGGAACTCGCCAATCAATACAGCGAGAAACTTGCCTACATGCCACATACTTATTTCATCGGTGACCATAAGTACGTAAATTTAGTTTTCATTAATTTTCTTAATAAACGGTGAAGCATAAAGTATGCAAACTATATTTTTGTAAATATTTTTTGAAAATTATGTATATTTAGTCATTTAATAAGGCAACTTATTTATTCTTAGGCAAATGTTCCCTCATCTGAAGGAACGCTTAATCCTGACGGACAAATTAAATCATAAAGGCAAGGTGGCCGACAATGTAGCTGTAATTAATGCTACGGATCTTTCCCCGATGATTGAAAATACTCTGATAAAAGAGATCCGCGAGGTAGTTGTGCCAGACGCCAAAAAACAACCCGTCGAGATTTCGCTCAAAGTTGCCGAGTTACCGACCACCACCCCGATTGAAACGATGATCGCTTCCGGTCAATGTCAAATGTCTGTAAACGGCGTTGTTGTGCAAAATGGTATGGCGACTACACAAGTAAACAATAAAACTGCCACGGGTGAGGAGGTACCTCAGAATATTGTCATTACAACCAGGCAGCAATATGGTTTGCCGGAAGACGCCGTCGTTTATTGCAACTTCAATCAATTATATAAGATTGATCCACTTACTCTTCATATGTGGGCACATGTGTGTAGCAAAACATCAATTTAGAACATACGTTTTTGCCAATTTTTTAATATTCAATTATTTGATTCTAGATTTTGAAACATGTGCCAAACTCCGTGCTGTGGTTGCTACGGTTCCCGGCGGTCGGCGAACCTAATCTTCAAGCAACAGCGCAACAATTGGGTCTTGCGCCTGGTAGAATCCTGTTCAGCAATGTCGCCGCTAAAGAGGAACATGTGAGACGAGGCCAATTGGCTGATGTATGTCTAGATACACCGCTCTGCAACGGACACACAACCAGTATGGATGTTTTATGGACTGGAACGCCAGTAGTTACGTTACCAGGCGAAACTCTAGCCTCTCGTGTCGCAGCTAGTCAATTGAACACTCTTGGCTGTCCTGAATTAGTAGCACGAACACGGCAAGAATATCAAGATATTGCTATTAGACTGGGTACCGATAGAGAATAGTAAGTATCTCATCATCTACATATATCTTTAAAAATTATAAAATTCTTTTTTGATAAAAAATATAAACTTGGAAAGATTGATGCTGTAATAAATTTAATCTTTTTATTTTCCAGCTTGAAAGCAACAAGAGCTAAAGTTTGGAAAGCTCGATCAGAAAGCCCACTTTTTAATTGCAAGCTATATGCTGTAGGCATGGAGATGTTATATACGAAAATGTGGGAACGTTACGCGCGTGGAGAAAGTCCTGACCATGTTTTAGCTGTTGATAAGAACGACAACCAAAAGTCATCGAGCATATCTTCTTAAGATACTTGACACTTGCTTCATAATTACTTATTCAGCTTCATCTTTGCGATTAAGATTCTTCTTCGAAAATTTTAGCGTTTGAAGTCATGATAAAGATGTCTATTCTTGATGAAGTTTCGTATATTTCCTATCTCTGCTGATTATTATTTTTTGTATGATAAATTCATGGAGTTTAGATTAGACGATAATTATTACTCATTTACATAAAATTCTTTATAATATTCAGATTTTCTTGCGCGTTATTTTTGTTAAACACGATTTTTCTAATATTTATATATTTATTTATTAATTTGATTAAATTGCATTTTGCGAAAAATTGGTAAAATAATAAAATATGATCTTACTTGCATATGGATAAAATAAAAAAAATGTTAAAAATGGTGAAATGGTGAAGAAAATATTGGCAAATATTTTTAGCTGTAGAAAAGAACCTCTCTAATATTTTACTTACTACTTGTGTTTTTTACAGAATAATAAATAATGAAAAAAAATAAATATTGATAATTAGGTACTCTAAATTAAGTACTCTAAGCTCCAAGAATTTTAGGGAATTGCGGAAATGGGGTATTTCAAAAATTAAATATCAAGAAATTAAAAAAAATTTCTTCTCTTAACGGGATTTATAATTTTATCGTAAGTTGCTATAAAGTATAATCCATTGTATATTTTGCTCTCATGTTATTGCAAGCATTACATTATTTTGACGAACGTTCTATTGAAACGTCTATCCTTGCTTTCTGTAAGCGACCTTTTAACACAGAGATATCCTGTACATGTGATTTGCCGAGGAACGCAAGGACATTTAACAAAGACTAGAATTAATAGTTTCCTGCACTTTATCGTATTGTTCTCTTTTCCCTATCGTGGAAGATTTAAAGGCCGCAGTCTTCGATTTTTAAAATCTATGATTCTGAAATTTGAAATTGGAACAATTTGGAGATTGTGAAGAGAAAAATCCAAACAAAAAAGCTTTGCAAAATTTTGTCATTTAAAATTCTAGTAGATCAAAAGTTAAAAATATTAAAAATCCAATAATTTTAACAATCTTTCTCTAAATTTAAATATCTTTTTAATTGAAATATTAAAGACAAACATTTTTAAAATTATAAAAATCATAAGTTAAAGATCTTAGAGATGAAAAAGTTAGACAAGTTTGAGAAAAAGAAATGGATTTTTGATACAAAATGGAAATTTACATAAAACTAATATTTAATTAATAAAATTATTTCTGTTTTTATTCTTTAGTTGAATATTTTGATTTACAATATATCGGGATTCTCCAATTAAAGAATAAAGGTATCGCTTAGTGGCCACAGCGTATAACACACAACTGTATTATATCAAACGACTAATGTTAATGTTTGTGTAAATACTAAGTACTAAGAATAATTGTTAATTATTTACGTTAGTCCAATAACGAGTATCGCGCAATTTGTGGTACTGACGAAATGCGTAAAGTAAAAAGATAAAGATATTGGACCGTAGCGAACTGATGTATGTGTAGAAAATAAAAACGATGAACGAAACAATCTCACAGTTTGTGCGCCGGCATTGTGCATCCTGTGATTTGAAATATTTACGTCGACATTTAGATTAGCAGTAATCGATGATCTTATGATAGTCGACAGAGCCGTACCTCGAAGGGCAGCGAATACTAAAGGACAATTACGTTCTTAGTGTGATAATCGCTCAAGTATAACTGTATTATATTTTCAATATGCTCTAAATTTGAATATAATCCATCGATGTATTTAATTTAATTAAATAAATATGGGTTATAAGAATCATATGGTCGAGGTGAAGTTTATCACGATTTGAATTTGTTATTACGAATAAACGTCGAAAATGATGTCAAGTAATGTGCGCAATATTCAAACAATCTGTTTTCATATAACTATTAAAATAATAGTAAAATGGCAGATACTCTTTGGTTTCTGTAGTCAATCCGCTATCACATTTCGTTATTAGAATCTTATATTTTTATCAACATTCTATTGTGACAAAATTTATGACAGATATTTTGCAAAATTTATACCAATTGACTTCCTAAGATATAAAATATATATATTTTTTATTTTGTACCTATAAAATAATTGAATTTAATGCGGCTTGATAATTTCTTTTATTTTACTTCTATACTTTTTTATCATATCTAATTCTTTTTTAAATGTCCAAACTTCCTGTGATATCGCAGAGAAAATATCGAATTGTTGAGTTTTGTAATCCTGAACTTGAGCATGCTGCAATCTGGCGGTGAGCCAACGAAACTCGCTTTCACTCACTAGCTTTCATAATCCATAAGACAAATTGTCACTTTTTTTTTTAAACTATTTTTGTTTTTTTTTCCGATGCTAGATAGATTTAAGGAATTCATAACTTATATTAGTAAACGCTGTGAAATAATCAATTGAATACAAATCATTTTAAATGTTATTAACATGTTTTTTTGTAAGGATATATTATTGGAACGCTTATATCCGCTTGTTCTGTTTAATACCACCGATATCGGATAGGTGACGTGCATATCATACGTAAGTTGTGGATCGCATTCCTTCATATTCGATAGCACACCCGCCCACTGTCGAGACTATCAGCATCGCTCTTGATAGTCGCTATTTATTAAACGTCGGTTACGTGGCAGATAAAAGCATTGTAATGCGGGCATTTAAGTTTCATGATGTACGCTTATCGCGTATTCACATAAAATCCGTATTATTTCGCGCCTACCGTCGTGAGATGACATACATTCAAGGAATATTATATGTCTTTTTTAAAGATGTTTAAAGACACCTTAAAATTTCAAAGATATGTCGTAAAAGTGTCAAAAACAGCATGAAATCTTTAAAATATCTCATGATTATTTAAAAAAAATGTTATTTTAAAGTTTTTAAGATATTTTATTTAAAATCGATTTTAGATTTTTTTTTTATAGCAAAGTTAAACAGAAATGCAAGAAAAAAAGATATACGAGAAGAGTTATACAAGATAAGAAATAAAAAATAAAGATTATTAACAAAGCCGTCATCAAATATTTCTGAAAGATCAAATATTTCTGAAACGTCTAGAAGTTTACATAGAGTACTGATTGTTGTAAAAAAACTTTTCAAAGTCATTTCAATCTTGCACATTTTACGTTGCAAAATTTTGAAAAAATTTTACCATATGAAGTGATGCAACAGAAATGTTTCTGAAATCTTTTACGTGTAGTAAACTTGAAAATATGATTGCTATAGAATTATCACTAGGAGGCATCCATTTCTCGCATATAATATTTATCAAGCTGTTATATAATCATTACAATCAAAGCATGGACATGTCATAATTGCATATCTTGTGTATCTTGTATACTTAATGTGATGTGATTGCGTCTTGCAGCAAGAGGAGTATCCATATACAGCGTTTCATAGAAACGTTTCAGGGATAACTCAGAAAAGCCACTTCCGATGAAATTAAAGTATTTGATAAATATCGCGAAATATAGCTCTGAAACAACTCTGCAATAGCAAAGTGTCAGCGAGAGGTCTTGCATTTAAAACTTTAGAAAGATAAGTCTGCAACATTTTTCAAATATTGCTGAAAGATTGCAGACTTTTCAATTATTTTTCTATAAAATTTTAAGTACAAGAATCATGTATATTTTACTACTGCAAAGCTATTTCAGAACTGTTGCAGAAATATTTTGTGATGTTTCTGAGATATTTCTATACCGTATATGTTATAACTATAACTAAAAATTAATAAATTATAAAAAATTTCTTCAAAAATGAAATAGAAAAAATATCTCTAAAAATATCTTAAATTATCTTTTATAAAATATTTTTTCGACCATGTATAGCTGTTTGTGTTATTGATTGTAACATCTATTGATTAGAATATAAGCACACACGGTATGTATGACCAATATGAATGTAACAAGTAACAAGTCTTGAAATCTGACATTCTGATATTTTTTATTATTCATTATCACAATGACGCAAAGCAAAGTTGAAACTTGCATATGTTGAAACTTGATAATGTTGAAAAAAATTATGTACACTTTTCTTTACATTATACATTGAAGTAAATTAATCTTGATCATGCATATATAATTTTATACATGGTGTCTCATATATCCAATAAAAATAGATCTTATGAATAATCGATTTTAGGATTTATAATTATATACTAATATATATAGGATTAATAATTATATACTCATAAATCGCGCAAAAAAGTTTTTCATATAAATTTGTTTTTATCGCTAAATTATGTTAAAAATTTCTTTCTCGTGTTCATCAAAGCATATATATCTATTTTATTTTAAGTATATTATGTACAATAAGTGTACAATAGGAATCAATAATGCCTTCTCTTTAAATAATTATTTCCAAATTAAATGTGTTGCATCTAAGTATTCGTACATTATGTGACTATATTTTTATAATGTGATTATTAATGTTTCTGGAAATTTATAATAAAACAAAAATCTTTTAAAGTAAAAGTTATATTATTTTAAAGTTTTATTTTATTATTTCATTCCAAACTCCAAAATTGGATTTAACGATCATGATGTACAAATAGGTAGATGCAATGTTTTTGACTCGGAAGTAATCATTTTCAAATAGGAAGGCATTATTGACACCTACTCCATACCAATTTCAAATTCAATTTTAAAGAACAGAGGTTGGCTGTGTCTCTTGAACATTATAAAAGTGGGGAAAATCATAAAAGTGAGAAAATTCATTAGATTTAGCCATATGAAGTCGTAGATATTCTAGTAAATTTCCTTATTTCTACCTCGTAATTTTCATCTCGTTTGAAAATACACAATCGACGCCCTTAGGATTTATCCACATCAATTGCATAATCATATGCATAAAGAAAATTATCCAATCGCATTATTGTAAGAATACGGGTAAAATGCGATTGGATGATTTTCTTTATACATACAGTTATGCAGCTGTGCAAATTTGTCTGGATAACCTTTTATGTTTGACAATTTATACTGTCAAACTTGCACGATGACATAAAAAAAGAAATCGATTTACGATATTTAGCCCTAGATGATATGAGAGGAAATAACTCATATATGATTTGTCGTTTCTGACATTGTAATTCAATATAGCTATAGCAGAGAGGCAGAGATTATAATTATCGAATAAAAATGATTTAAATGCCGATAATAAATTCCGAAAATGTCGAAGATTAATTATGCTTTTCCAGGTTAATC